ACAACCAGTATGTTTGAACTGACTGAGCCAGATCCAGCTAGGAGAGAAGTTGATGGGAGCTTTGCCAGGACCCAAGTAAGCAGAGACCTGGCACTGGAAAGGCCTTCCTTAATCTTTACTGCACTTACCAACAGTTTGTCCTCTTTCAGATAGATTAAGATCATTCTTTTTTTGCAAACAGTTCAAGTGCAAACACTGCCAAGTGTTTTCTTTAACTCCAGCCTGCTGTTCTCATCAGAACAGCACAGCAAAGAAACAAGTGGTGGGCCAGCCTTTGTCTGACMCAGGGCACGGTGTCACAGCCTCCAGCTCCCATCCCAGGCACGGGGTGGCTGCAGCAGTGCACGGGGCAGGTCACAGGTATGGGATTCAAAGTGCAAGATTGGGGAACGAGGATGGCTTTCCATCAGCGTCTGCAACAGCTTTTACCTGATCAGAGCATTAATGAAACTACAGCTTGCATTTACTTCCAACATTTTAATTCCTCAGATATATTTTTCCAAATTACAATTGCTGAGGTAGGATTAGAAAGAAGTATTATTTTCTCCTTGTCTGTGACACAAAGACTGCTGACTTGGCAAGGGCAGCATCGGCAGGAAAACGCGATGGCAATAAATGTTTCAGAAGTAAATATTTTACTGAACAGATTACTGCATTTTTTTTTTCTCCTATATGTGAAGATTAATTGCTTACAGCAGGTTATACTTCTCCTACATTCACCATTAACTTGAACTACTGGTAATTAATTACAGGGTTTACCAGGTACYAGTACCAGGTACTTATCTGCCCTACATCTTCTAGGATGTGTTCATTTGCCCAAAGTCAGCATTCCATAAGTAGAGCAAACATAAACCTACGATCACAACTTGCCCGCGCCTAAATCACAGCTTTAAASAGACAACATATGATCAACAAATTTTCTTTGCACAAAAATTCTCTCTCTCTATCCAAAATCCTTGTTGAACCTGGATCAATGAACCTGTTAAAATGACAACTGCCTAAGAAAGTATTTGCAGCATGCTGTTCTCCCACAATGCTTCATTCCTAAAAATCATTGTGGCTCCTTTCAGATTAAAGATCTGTTACACTATTCAGACTAAAATTTAGAATTTGTGTCTACAAATCAAGCACCTCTTCAAAGTCAGGCAGAAATAACTTTTGGATGGAACACCAGCATTAAATATCTTAAAGCATAAATGTTTTCTTAGGCCCGACATAAAAAACGTTGGATAAAAAAGCATGAAAAACAACAGCTTAATCCAACCCAATTATCACATCCCCGTTCTGGAATGGGCATGACTCCACTAATTACAACCTCAAAGAAATGATCATTATGGGAACAGACAAGTACCCCAGGCAGTACCAAGACATTTCCTCTGATTGCCGGCTCCTCCTGCCAGCCTGTGCRTCGGTGCCCCCCTCTGCTGACCCACCCCACGGGAGCGGTGGCACTGGAGTGACAGGGACACGGAATAATCTTCGCTGTCAAAGTGGGAGGCGGCAGAACGAGCACACTCCCTGATRGTGTTAAAAAACCCACTGAGGAGATGAATGCCTTGAGCTGCACTTTCACACTCTGGAATTAGTTCCAGTATGAARCAAAATCTCCCTTGTAAGGAGCCTAATTTCTTAGAAGAGTGCTGGTGATTAACCTTAGAGCACTGAATTYTCATCCTCCTCTTGAGAAATAATGGAAGTTTCTGTCCTGCATGTATGGCTTTTCCCCATCATTTCTGGATCATGCAAAACACTCTAGGCAGCACTTGCAAGTAAACCAGCTCAGTAATCTTATTTTTTAGTATTTTATCTGTTCAGCTGGCCAGAGGAAAAAAAAAGATGAATTATTTTTCACACATTCAGCAAAGAATTTATTTTGCAGGAAAACGTCATACTGAATATTCATTAACTTATTTCTTGGGGTCTGAAATCTACTGGAATTATTGCAGTGGGTGGAGGTTGTGACTTTTGGGCAAACCACGGCCTTTGTCTAAAATGCTGTCCAACACATGGCAGCCTCAAGCAAAATATCTGATAGAACTCTCCCTGAACTACCACCTCTTCATAATATTCTTCCATTTTAGAGGATTCCTAAGGTTTATATAAAAACAAACATGAAATTCCCTTTATCATGTTTTATCCGTATTTGTTAGTACTGACAAATGCTCAATTAGTCTCTAGTTTATTCCAAAGCCCAGTCCACACTTTATCTGAGGCTACTGTGAGGAGCAAAAGGGAAGATGACCCCTGAGTCTCTGCCTGCTACCAAACTTCTCATGACTTCCCCCAGGAGCATATGAATTAAAAGCAGCTATGGTAGGCTTCACCATGCAGACTTTTGTGAGCTCTTTTCTTTTCGTTGCTAATATTTTAGTTGCTGTAATCTTTTTTTTCACATGGATTTCCATGAGATAATGGAAAACTGCTGGTAGAGAAGCCCATTGCTTCTAATCATCAACACAGAGGCTTCAGCTGCTGCATCAGGTCTACAGCCTGAGCAGATCCCCTTGTCTATTTAGCCCCACTCCTCTTGTAGCTGTGATTGCTCCTACTCCTCCTGGCAAGAAAAATATGTTAGAAACAGCTGCTATTCCTCCTTCTGCTCTTCCCCTCAGTGGGAGGAAGGCAGAGAGGGTTGCCAACAGTGTAGTGGCTTAGCTAAAGCCAGATATTTTTACATGACAGCACAGCCACAGAGCCCAGCCTTGAGCTGCTGCTGCCTGCATGTACAGAAATCAGGATGAATACAAGTCCTTATAGGCCAAAGCTTTTCACATTATGAACCACCTCAGAGGTAAATTATGCTCTAAACACCTGAATTTCATTCAGCAGCAAGACAAAAGAAGCCCTAATACAATCACTAATGAGGTCCAGAGGTGTTTTCACTACTGCCAGTGCGTTACATCCACTCCAAACATTTTCAAACACAGGTACCTGGAACTAGCAATGCAGCACTCGTCTCACATTAAACCACTTGAGCTGTCATCAGGGAAGAGTCTTACACTCTCCTCTGTCTGCWTTTCCACTCAAATGAAGCGGATCTAGCAGAAAACTCATGTATTTTTTCTTCTGATGGAGTCAGTTTTAATCCAGAGCTGTTTGCTACTGTCACCCATGTGTAGCTGCATAAAACCGTATTTCAGTAAAAGGTGGTGGTGAACAAGAGAGGCCAGGGTTCAGCGATGGTTTGCCTTCTGTTGGTCTAAAARGGTTTTTACAATACCTATTTAAAGCTGCCCAGCCTGAAGAATGGCATCCAACTCCAAGTAMAACAGAAATCACAATCTGTTATGGAATATTTGGTACCAGAGCTAACCCCTCTGAAGGCTCTGAGAGCACTTTCAGAATTACAAAGGACTTGCTCTTCAACTGCAAGAACTGTAAGCAAAACTAAACACAAGTTTAAAATTGTATTTTTCCTTGTGCAAAACAAATTCTTCTGCTTTCTTAGAGAATGTAGCATGGTTTTCAATCATCATAATTGCTTTATTATACTAMCTGAATGTAATAATATTTACAGTCATTCCAGTAATGATCCAGTTCCAGAACACCCTCTGGACCATTTGCTCASCTACAGAGAAAAGGTCTGTCACACTGCACTATGTCTACTTCTTATTGTGCCTCAAATAAAGTAAAAAYTCCCTTTGCCTGTTACAGCATTCAAAACCAACCAGTGACCAATCACAGGAGTCAACTGAATGAGCATTGGATGTCCCAATGGCATCTACTCCTCTTGGATATTACAATACCACACAATTGAAGCAAAAGCTACTGTCACCAGTGGATTCATTTTGAAAATAACATTTGAATGGAGAACTGTCATACAGTCCTCCAAAGGCCTTCTCTGCATCAGTAAAGACCTTCCCTAAAAAAGGTCATGGTTAATGGAATTAATCTGTAATGGAGGATGAATAGGTTTACATGTCAGAACTGTTACTCAAGCAATTATTATTAAGAAAATCCAAACCAGTGTATAATCAGCCAWTGCAGATATGTGAACCCAACAAATAATTCTGCCACAAATGTTCTAGAGACGAGGATGCACATAAAAAATCTGATCTCTTTTCATATTCACCATGACTATATGACATGAAATTCACTCCCTGCTTTCCAAATACAAGCTGGCTCTAGTTCCCAACTAGCTGCCCAGCATGTTGAACACTAAAATCAACAGTCACACTGCAAAAGTACACTTAACAAATGTCACTAAGTCAATTCAGCACAAGGACCAGACTCAAAAAAAAAAGTTTTGTTTGACAGCTCTTGCTGCCTTACCACCTGGGAAATGAAAATACCCACATGTCACTGCTTACAAGGCTGTTTCTCATATGTAAAATAATTTCTTATTTTACATTTTCAGATGATTGCTAACTGCACAAAATTCTCACTTTATCATCATGTAAGTTCTGGTCCATAGAATGCTATGRGATACGGGTGCACGAAAGAAGGAGACCAAGGAAAGCCCACTTCAAATGAGAAGAGCAAGAAGAAATGGAGGCAAAGATACAACACCCCAATTTCAGATCCACGAGAAGGAAAGAAAACACACAATATCCCAATTTGAGACCCATCCACCAAAGGCTTGGCAGAGAAGAGGAGCTTCAGATAATGCACAGAAAGGTAACAAACTTGAGCTCTGTGGTGAAGGGTCAGTGGGAACCAGATTCATAATCCTGTTGTGGAAAATGCTTGAGTATAMATGCACAAACACAACCTGTCACCAATTTTATAGGCAGCTCCTACGTTAAAGGGCATATACCCATACATCACATGGTGAAAACATTTGCATTTGGTACTTACTAGAAAGTTTTCCTCATAAGCTCCAAACAAATATTAGCAGGGAGCCAAGGTCATATTAACAGGATGTAAACTCTGCAGTGGGATAGCAATACTTATTAAAGTATAGAAATATAGAAACAGGTCTTCTGACAAAATAATTTTTCCTGTCTTGATAGAAAGACTGGTATTAATTACAAAAATGTTTAACTGAATGTTTAACTTACCTTTTCAACCGGAGTATTTTCTTCACTTGTTACACTTGCTTTTCTTGACTCATTTTTTGTTCTGCTCAGCCTTCGGGACACTTTTTCTCTAAGCAAAGTGGCATATCCGATGTGCTCATAGATGGGGTTTGTTGTCATTTTGGAAATGTACTCAGAAGCCTTTGTTTCTATATACAGTGTGATCAAGCCATCTGTAACCAGATCATGGATTGACTCAAATCTTTTCTCCCCAACGAAGTGCTTCCCATCATAGAACAACCTGTAGTTTAAGGTCTGGTTACCAAATCTGCAAACACCAGAAGAAAAACAGAGGGAGAGAAGAAAAAGAGAGAGAGAATTCAGATTGTGTTAAAGGTTCTTCCATCCTGAAGCATTTTTGAGGTGCAGAAAGTGGGTACTTAACCACATATGGGTATATTTCCAGTCAACAAAGAGATGGACATCCACCAAGTAATGAAAATMCGAATSTGAAGCCAGGGAGATCAAGATCCTKATTCAGGGCCCATATCCAAACTTTTGTGGGAAAACTCTAGCCCTATTTACAGCAGGTGTAATCTATTGCGTGCTTTAATAATCCCAGTGCTGTAGTAGCACATTCAGTTTGTGACACTGAGCTTCAGTCCCGTTATTGATTGAAGCATTCAGAGATATGATAYTGTGTCAAATGGTCCTTATATTGCATCAAAACTGTGTGTCTTTGCACACTTTGTTCAGCCTTCAGATCACATGGTTTAAGCCTCTTATTTTTTGCCTACATTTTTTCATATGAAATCCCAGTTTATAATTAAATTCAGTTTTTGATTCTACAAATAATTATCCAGATGGATTTAGAAAACATGTTGTTTCATCCAAACAATAGGCATTTTGCCATAATTCTTACCCTTTATGATTTTTTTTATTCTTCATTTTGAAATCTCTCCCCAAAATCCTAAAAAATTGTGTTTGTTCTTTTTCAGCTGACATACAAATTGGTTTTAATTTACACCACTTTTTAGTTGGCATGACTCACCAGCTTTTCCAGCTTCACCATCTGCACATCAATACAAATTCTAAGCATGATTTCAGCACTGTATCACAGCTACTTGGGATAATTCCTTTAAGGATTTTTCCTCATGGTTTACCAGAAGAGTAAAAATGTARACTTTCAGTTTGTGTATATCTCACAGGAGCAATAATGCTATACAAATTGCAAAATATTGCCAGGGAGCTTGTTTTGTCAAAATCCAACCGAATATCTTGTCCTCTTGCCACTAAAACACAGTCCATTTCAGACCTGAGTGAGCAGGTTTTGAGTGACACAGCTAMGCTAGGAAAGGCACTGTGAGGGGCAGTGAGTTTGTACCTTTTGTTCCCACTGAATTTTTCACTCAGTTCAGWAGCAGACTCTTTGAGCAGCAGCATCCCATGCTTCACAAGGCATTTCTACARCAAACTCAGGTTCTTATTGGGGAAGGAAACTGCCAGTTTTCAGCTTCTGGAATCCATGATTTTCCAGGTTTATTTGGAGTTATTATCACAGACAGTTGTCAATGTTTGCACACCACACATCACTGAGCTCAGAGGGCTGTGTCCTCTTGGCTGTATCCTCTACTAGGACACATTCCTGTTCGGTATTCCTCAGTTTTCATGGAGAAGCTCCATCTTTACAAAATTTAGCTCTAGGTTAAAAAAAAATCTGAAAATGGGCACAATCTGCTTCTGAAAAAGGACTTCCTAGCCAAGTGCTGAAGGAGGGACTGGATGGCTGCAGCGCTATGATGGTCAAACTGCTGACAAGAGGTGTAAAAGCACTCTGATATCACGCAGCGCTCTGAGTAACTGTGGAGACAGACTTCACTCAAAATAGAAACCCCTCCATTAAACACATTTACATTGGAACTGTAAGGYTCTACTAAAACAGCATTTACCTGAGAGCAAGGGTATAGCAGCCGGGTTGCCGCTGGCTTTCTCTAAGAATATACGCTCCTTCTACGCCAGCRAGGATTTCATCCGCTTGCTCCCGAGAAATGATCCCGTGAAACCTAAGGGAAGACATTTCAGTGACTTACAGAATAATCCAACCAGAAAYACATCCTTCTGCACCCCAGAAACCACTTGAAAACTTCATCACTCTCGTGCACCGTGGCCTAAACCATCAGGGTAGCACCCAAGGAGCAGGATGGTCATCCAGCCTGGACGAGTTCAGCACAGACACAACAGAACGACTACACTGTAAATGCAGTTTCAGTCAGTATAACACTCAGCTGCACACAAAGTCTATTTTTTCTCTAAATGCCCTRTCTTTTCACAACTTTTCTMTTTAAACAGCCTATGCCCCTCCTCRTTTCCTTTCTAGTGGCCTTACAACAGAACTGAAAACCAGGCAAAAAGGCATGTTTAAAAAAAATGGAATTATTTTATTTAAACATGTCTTTAAAGATAGGTATTTATATACATACATATTTAAGTATAATTAAAATTACGGTTCTTCTAATTACYAATTTGCTGTATTTTAATGTTATACTGCTTCCTCAAATTTGTAAGGAAAACAGAGGCAAATATGGGAACAATTATTCAAGATTCTGTGCTGCATATATTAAAGAAGTAGGTACAGAGAAGTCTTRAGAAAAACATTGTTTTCTTCATGTCAAGGAGCTCCTCATTCAGTGCTGGAAAAAAGCAATACTTCTCTGATTCTTTTGTCATTGCTATTTTAAGAAAGAAAGAGGGCCTAGGATGCACAATTAACCTTATGAAAACCAATATTTAGCAGTGATCTCTCCATAAGTACAAATTCAGTCTTGACAGCAGTTTGAGTCTTAACTCCTACGCACATTTTGCTAGCTGATAAGTCTTTTGAGGGTCTCTTCRGAGGCTTTGAAAGTTTCTATTTTTGCTGCTGTCTAAAAAAAGGCACTAAAATGTACTGGCCTTAAGCATTTTCTCTTTTCTGACAATACATATGAAGTGGCACATTCCTAATGCTGCCTCTGGCTTGGCAGTGAAAGAGAAGACAAACACATTGGATGTAAAAGCAATTGTTCAGTTCTCTTTATGCTGCCTTTTCACAACTAATACAYGTTGAAAATACTAGGTTTAGATGASCTTTCCAGAGTGACTTTGGATTAAAAGTAATGTGAATTGATTCATCTTTTCTGTCTGTATAGGTGGGGTATGAGCATCCTTTAAATGACACAACTTAAAAGTGATTTTACCAAGAAGCTCAGGGCAATTCATAATTCCAGTCAAAGATAATGAGCATAAGCTATTCCCCACAAAAAAAACCCAAACAGAACAAAACCCCAGCAGGCTTTAGGTTTCATATTAGGACAAAATATCGGTGATCAATTTAAGAAATTACTTGGATGGGATACTTAGGTCACCTGTGAAATTTCTTTAACCATGGGTGATAAGCACCGGTTAATCCAAACTTTCTTATGGCTATTTTTAGTACCTTTTTATAAGAGAATGAAAAGAGCTTGTACGTGGTACAAGATCCCCTGAACTAMTGCCTGCTTCTGACAGCAGCTGACAAGAAATGCTTACGGAAAGAGTACAGGAAGCAGTGACATATTTCTTTCACTTCACATCCCTGTCTATCCATCACTGCTGTAGACACAATTGTGTCTGATCACTTGTGACCTTGCCCTTCATGTATTTGAGAATCTCACTTGTAAACCCTTTTAGATCTTGGTGCTTTTGGCCTCTGCAGCTGCCTCTGGCAATGAACTTGAAAAGGACACTGTGTGTGTCCCTTTCTTGGGCACCACTGAGGGGATCTGTCCTCCTGCAGCAGGAGATGCATYCCTGGCTGCATCCCTTCCCTCCACCATTGCTGCAGTATCTTCCACTTCTACAGCCTTTGTAAGAAGGATGGAAGAAGAAAAGGTAGAGAGGGATCAGAAAGATGTGTGCTACTTAAAATGCAGCCACATCACAAATTTATTTAGCAATGTAATTACGTTTTTTTCTTCAGTTTCTTTCCCTAGAAATTCCTGTTTCTCTTTCCAAGTACTACCGAGTACTGAGTCAATTGCTTTTATAGAACCGCCCCAGTACTTCTGAAATCTTCTTTCTGAATGATAATAACTAAGGTGATCTTGCCTGCACAGGTTCCCCAAGGTGATGTCTTACAGTTCCTGTCAGCCCTGTTGCTCCACCAACCCAGGCACATTCCTGGATAAGAGACTGCAGCAATGGTTTTACAATTCCTGCTGTAGGAAGCGTGACATACTACTCCACTAGCTGCTGTCTTCAGCTCTGTTGTACTCTAGTGGCTAGTTCTGAATTCCTCATTGTCAAAGATAATATTTAAAAAATGGAACGTCAGTAATTAGGGGCAAAGCTAGTGGCTCTTGAGGCTTCTGATGGTAGAAAAGGATCATTAAACACAGACGGTGTGTCTGGGATGGAATAAAACATAGAACATGGGATATAAGTAATTTAGCTAGTCATAAGGGCTGGGGTCTCAGCACAGGACTCTAGTAAAGGCCAAATGCCAAATCTGGGTGGCTGCTGCAGAGGCTGTGCCCTTCAACTCCACCTGCCCAGACCTCCATGCCAATGCACAACACAGCCCTTTCCGAGATATTCATCAGGGAAAACAATACTGAACACAAAGGAATTACACTGTAGTGGTTTGGTTTTTGCCTTCAACAAAAATRCACGTCTTCTTTAGGTATTTTGGACCTCATAACTTCAGCAGAGAGAGCAGCAGTTACCCAAGCAGCATTTTACACACACTTCCACAGCTACGTAGGGTGGTGAAAGCATAGGAAAATACAAAAATAGGCAGTGAGAGGGATAAGCTGCTTCTTCCCTCCCCAGGCCAGTGCAGGACCTTTGGCAGGTATAAATAGCAACAACAACGACAACAAAAAGAAAGAAATACCCCAGATAACATTTTTTACCCTAAACTCTCCTGAGAAAAGTAAAATAAAATCGCAACCTCACACAAGAGCATAATCCAATTGAGAGCTGCACTAAYAYACTGTAACATAACTACACTATTAGGCTTTTGTTGTATTTGGCTCCCAGAAGTGAAAGGTAAAATAAAGTATTTCATTAGACCTCCATTATGTTTTTTTTTTTTTTTCAATTCCATAGTAACAACTTTTGGATACACCCAACAGATGCTTTAAAGAGAAAAACACTTACTCTCTTCCGTAATACTTTGGCCTGTTCTCCACCTAAATTTTGAAAGAAAGGAAAAAAGTATTAAAAACATAATTCTATATAAACTATATAAAAATAAATTACACCTGATTACTAATGAGGACTTCTGCACCCAGCTGAGCTACAAAATTCTGCAGGTTCAAAACTGTGACTGAACATGACTACACAGAACAGAAAAATGAAAAGAGGTGGTTTTATTGATCTATTTCTGGGATGAAAAGCACATATCAATGGTGACAAAATGGACCAAACAAAGACTATTTTACTGCAGTTTTACCAGTCTGGTATTTATAACATAAAGTAAGATTATTTTTGCGTTTGTATACACTTTTTATTTGTATGTTTTATATGCATTGTATGTACATTCTGAACATATACTACAGATATTTACGTACATTATTATAGACTTTATACTCATATACATATATACACACATACACATTTTTTGCCTTTATATGGCAACTGATASAAGATAAACTGTTTAATATTCTTGGGAAAAACAAGGTTTCTGGATTTAGACCTAGTCCTAAGCCCTTGAAGCCTCAAGCATTTAGGGGCCGGACCCAAAGTAAACTGGAAGTTTCCGGGAAGACTCCCAGTTATTTCAGAGACGTTTGAAGCAAATCTTAGGGATTCCAGGTTGTCACCCGTAGGCTCTGGGCACGCGTGGCACGGTGACTCGCCCGGCATTCCCGGCTCCATGTGCCATTCCCGCTCCTGCCGCCCCTTCCCGCCGGATCCCCCGCAGCGGCCGCCAGGGGGCGCTGCCCGCCCAGGCTTCGCGCGCCCCAATTAACAGAGCCCGGCCATTGATAATTAATTAATCAGTGCCAGCTCCTGTCWCAGGGACACGGAGACACCTCAATCCACACCTCAGGGCCTTCAGAGAGAGCCCCTCCCTGTCCTCTAACAGCGCCCAGCAGCAGTGTCACCTCGCCGGGCTGCAGCTCCTGTCAGTGCTTTCACACAATAAGCGTGACAGAACTTCATATAAGATACACGTGAAATCTCCAGATTTTTAAGATTATCTCAGCTCTGAATATCTCAACAGAGATATCTGCATCAATGGAATTACTACTTCATATGTGCTAACACATGTAGACAAATTGTGCTTTTAATACTGCTTCATTCTGCATAAAACTCATTTTCCTTCAATTTCTCTGACTGGAAACAAGTGCTCTCATTCTTGTTTTCATGGTATCTCATTATTTTGCTCATAAAAACTTTATATTGGTGAAGGC